GGAGAAAAACCAGACTGACACTCAAGATACCCCTAACCAAAATGGGCATTGTTTTTCAATTTCATGAAACTTTTCTTTATAATAAGATTGAATCTTACCGTAAACCAAAAAAATAAGAACAAATTTATGTTCTGCTAAAAGCATTCAACACTTCATAAAGAATGAGAAAACAACTAAAGGTGCAAAATTACAGAGCGACAAATCTTCACTRGTATGTCTCTTCTCTAGAAGAATATTTCTACTTCCTTTTCAGTCATCTCYAGGACATGATCTCTAGCATCCGTGAGAGCACTCTGGATAAACACAAGAGGATAAACCAGAAATAATCTATTAAGAAGGGATCTGGAAGGAGATATGTTCTTCTTACCTGCCCAAATTTGGTGAGGAAGTTGTTCCCGAGGTTTATCGATGTAACCGTGACATCTTCATTGGCCTTTAGAGCTTGGGCATATCAGGCAGAAGAATAAGATAAAGCCGCTTACAAGGTTAAATAACGACACAATGTTGAAGAACGAAGTAGTTTTCTCTTTACCCGTATTTCATTGAACCCTCAATCCACAGATGTCAGAGCTTCATTAACTACTTTCAAGCTCCGAGCTAAGCATGAAAATTACCATTTTATAAACTATGAAAGGAATATTTGGTACAAGTATTGTAAGCACATAAAAGAATCTACTGAATACTGACTGATAGAATCTGTCTGAAGTAACCTCGTCTCTAATTCCATTTGCCCCCAAGTCCAAGACCGAGATCGTGTTGTTATATCTCAACATGTCTGCAACGTATTCAGCACCCTTAGCAGTTATCTGCGGGACAGAGGAATGAAAAGGTAAACGATAAAATGGAAGAAGCAATTGTGAAGAAGCAATTGCTTATCAAATGGAAGAAGCAATTGATAAGAGTTATGGGCATGCTTTTTACCTGGCACCAACCAAGTTTGAGCGTTTTAACATTTCCATGGAACTTGAGAATTTCGGATAGTGCTTTAGCTCCGTCGGGGCCTATGGGATTGTAACCAAGCTCTAACTGAGGAAATAATGAGACTGGTAGTATCAGTATCTTCCAAGTAATAGTAAACAAAGAAACAAAGATTATATGGCACTGACCGTCGTTATAATCGCATTATCTTTCAACGCTTGAGCTATAGCATTAACTCCCTCCGCATGGATATTATTTCCACCCTATTTCACAAAAAAGCGTTAGCAGAACAAATGGGTCTATTTAGGCGCAAGGTAAATAGTGCCTCATTGCCTATATCATTCATGTAAAAGTTTTTTGTTTTG